TATTTATTTAGCTTTTTGATTGGAATTGAAGTGGAAAATGTGCAAAAACACTACGGCGAGAAATTACGTGATTCTACGAGATTCTTCGTGACTTTGACCACAGCGGGGCCCTGGACGTTCAAAACAAAGAAAATGGCGGCGCACATGAGATGGGGAATTCTGCAGTTGTTACGGGTTCAAAATACCTCTCACTTTAGGTTTGACTTGTTTAATTTGTCTAACATAGTTTGTTTCAGCTTTGATAAACCCGATGTAATGCGCTGGAATACTTTTAAAACACGTAAAACGAAATTTCTTTGCGAGAGCAGGACACTAACATATTAACTTGACTTGTTGTGAACCTGTCGAAAAAATAGTCTATTTAGAACTCAAATTATAACCCACTTAATCTAGATACGTGTTTAAATATATGTATAGAATCCACTATGACATATAGATGATTCAATTTGGCTTTTGTCCACACAAAAGCCACAAGTTTTTTTTGTTATGCTTATCCGCCATTCAAGTCAGCTAACATTTGTGAATTCATACTCAGACTAATTACTCAAACTTTATGAGCGATTTGTTGTGCTTGGATTGGAACGCTGATACTAAAACAGTTAAATATAAAATGATTTCAGTGATCAAATATATGACATAAAGGCACTAAAATTTGTTTTTAATGTTCGAAGGTGGTTCCCAGATAATCTCAGAAGTTCATACAACTTGTCCAAAATCCAGACCTTTAGAGGAGTCCAGTCTCAGCCGGGGGCAGGAGCCACAAATATTACAAGTTAGAAACCTTTTTTAAACTTTTTATTTCACTCATGTATATAACATGCTGTACAAAAAATAATAATAAATAATTGTGCAGTTTTCCCAGTAGCTGGTTTTGTGATGTCTTTCAGCATCCATCCAGACAGAAGACACCCCAAACCCAAGAAGTTTGAAGTTTCTTCCTGGTAAAGCTGTACTAGGAAGTGGTACACTTGACTTTCCTTCACCGAGCTCAGCTGGATGTTCATCTTTAGCCAGGTTTCATCTCTAATTTTACTGCTTTATTTTGTTGCACTTAAGGTCAGAATTGCTGTCTTAGAATGTACAGTATTATGGTATATAGATTTAACAGTTATTATAGTACAAAGATCAGACCAGAAGATGCAAATAAAATCCTGTTTTCTTTTTCCTTTTTTTCTTTTTTAGTGTGATATGCATTTAAGTACAAAAGTAATTTCAGCTTCCATTTTAGCAGGTCATTGCAAATAGAAATATAAACAAATATGCAGTACTGAGTCCATTTCTTTAAATTTTGCTTCCAATGTATCGGACAGATTTTTTTTAGACATTGGCTGCTTTTTCAGTGCACCAACTAGTTGTTCAAATCATCCGCTGAAACTACTGTTTGTGATATAAAATTAGTAAATTTCACTTTCATAATGTACCAAAACTTGGCCTGCATCTCTAAAATTTGTTGACATTACTTTGTTTGTTTTACCAGTTTTAAAAGAAGCATTTTAAGTGTTTTGAATTGACTTGATAATAAATTGTCTGTGTGGATGCATATACAAAATACAAGTCTTTATTCATAAATTCAGTCCTCTTACTAAATATAAAACAGAATACAAATTTCATTTGGCTTCAGATTACAATAATGTTTGGAACATTAAAACAGCACTTTTGTTTCCAAACATTAAAATGCACTGTTGTGTCTCAGAGGAAAGTGTTTGTGTCCTTATCAGTCTGTTGCTGCTCTAAAACTTCCTGCCTTGATTTGTGAAAATCAAAGCAACGTCTGCATAACTGTCAGAACTACACATTTTCATAACTGTGTTATGAGATAGTGTCACACACGTGTTTACATATAGACACAGTTTGACTTTTTGACTCCTGGAACAAGCAGCATGAATGTATAGGATTTTTTTCACATTACGTTGTAATTCTATAAATAAAGTTAAAACTCTTTCAATTTATTGTAGCATGTTTTTTAATCTGTTATACGACAATGTGTTTCTTTCAGGGACCTGTTTGCAATTGAGGGGGTGAAAAGTGTGTTTTTTGGCCCAGACTTTATCACAGTTACTAAAGTAAGCACCTAATGTAATCATCCAACTTTCTTTGGTTTTGTTCCTTTTAAAAACTTGAAAGAAACAATAACAGATAAAATGTTTGTCCTCTTGTCAGACAGACGAGGACGTGGAGTGGACAGGCATCACGCGTGAAGCTCGAGATGCTATCGCTAAGTTCTTTGAGAGCGGTGACCCGATAACGACAGGAGCAGTGCACAATGAAAGTAGTGAGTAACCAGCGTAGATTGATCCAATTCTAAAACTGAGAATTGGGGAAAAAATTACCATATTGTGCACTTTTCTCTTTCAGGTGTTTCTGAAGATGATGACGAGATTGTATCGATGATAAAGGAGCTTCTGGACACTAGAATCAGGTACAGAAATGTAAATTTAAAGCCACATTGATGATTCTCCTTCTGATCACTTTTTGCTCCGAACTTACAAGATGGTGAATGGCGTTACAGATAGTAACATAGAGATAAGTCTGTTAATCTGTTCTTTGTGCCGCTCTGTTCTGTACTAACTGATATCATTTATTTAACTCACAAAGACCTACAGTACAGGAGGACGGAGGCGATGTCATCTTTAAAGGTTTCGAGAACGGTACAGTCAAGTTGAAGCTGGTTGGGTCTTGCACAGGATGTCCCAGCTCCACGGTGACTCTCAAAAACGGCATTCAGAACATGATGCAGTTTTATATCCCTGAAGTGGACAAAGTGGAGCAGGTGATTTTTGCACCTCTGTTGTTTTTTACTTTTAATAAAAGATAATTGTTTTTCCAAATTCCTATACATTTTAAATGAAAATATCTGCAATTACTAGTTGCAAGACAAATTTTAACTTTTGACATACCAAGGCTGAACAGCTTAATAATAACAGCATTACTGACTTTTACTTAATTATTCCTATGTCTGTTTGTTTAGGTGGAAGATGAAGTGGATGAAATTAGTTCAATGGTTTTTGCTGAAGTGGAAAAGAAGTTACATGAATAAGTCAGTCTCACTCAACAAACTCATGGACCTTGTGGTAATAATACATATCGGTTCCTGCAGGTGATCATAATGCTGTACTGAAAGGGAGTGGAAAAAGTAATTTCATATTCTTAATTGTCCAGTTGTAATTTAAATGTACATGCTGCATGTTTTGTTCCTAAAGAAAAAGTATATACTGTGCTTGAAAAAATGTAATAATTGTTTTCATTTTTTTCTCTAAACTACAGTTTTATTCTGTGGTAGGAAATGTTAGGATGTGTTTATTTCTTATAATGTTAGTCAGAAAGAATGTTTTCTTAAGATGGCGATTTTGTGAATGTTTACAGCAATGTTTAGGTTCTTTCAAAACTTTGAGCTGACAGTTGTAACAAAATCTAAGTTTTGACATGTGAATGCATTATCTGATACTAAAATAAAATGAAAAATGAGGTTAAAAGTACCCAAATTGCAAAAATAAACTTGCAATGTCCCATCTAAAGAGATATTTGTTGTATTTATAATAAATGCTTTGTGCTCTGCTCTTTAGATTTACTGTACTAAAATAAACATCACTGATTGACAAAACCTTTTTGTTATTTTAGTACTTTTCTTGTCTCTTTTTCTGCTTATATAAAAAACGATAACATTTTGTGCAGAGTGTCCCTATTTTTTCTCATTTATTTATTGAATATATATTCCTGAAGGGTCGAAAGAACAAAGCAGCACGTGACGTGATGCCATTATACGTGAATTTATTAATTTTAAGGGTTCAACTCGAGTTGATCTGATTTTTCTGCCTTGCGCATGCGCATTTCTCATCTAGACTCGACTGGGGCACAACGGTGAGCGGTGTTGACAATTTTCTTATTTAACATTGCTACGTTTGTGAAAGTTAATTGCAAATCTGGAACGCTTTGATTATAATGTGCAAAGGAGATGACGCTATCGATGTCGAGCTTATTTTAATTTGGTGCCGTGGGTCATTCACATTTAAGTCCCCATAAACGGCCTTGGTCTAGATATCAAATGAGCACGAGGCTAATCTCTGGCAACAATGCTAGAAATGCTAACAGTTAGCCGTCTGTATAAGCTGCTTTATAGGAGTAATGCTGCAGGTTAACACGTTTGGAGCTACATATGGCGTGTTAACTATGACAATAAAGTCACACTTTAGCACAAAAATAAAAGAATCAGCTGTTGTATACCACAGCAGTAAAACATTTAGCTTGTTGCTCCAATGTAAAAATGTATTGCTGGTTAGCCGCTTGCGTTAGCCATCTGTCAGTGAGTGGCTAATCTGTTAGCATGGTTGACCGTCGCGGTTGCCGCTGTTTCAGCAGCTGCTTATCATTGAAAACCGTCTGATAAAAAAGGGCAAACATTGCAGAGTATAAATATGTCGTTACTATTTGTCATATGCTATGTCTTTGTTTTTTATTTTACGCATAATATGTTGTATATGTTGTGATCTAGCAAACAACTAAAGAAAAACACCACACACACAACACTTTTTATTGTTGTAAATAATCAGCTTTGATTAATGTTACTCACATGAGGGAACAAAATAAACAGATATGACAGGATTTGTTCTGGCAAACATAAGTGAATATATTTAAAGTCTGGACTGCGATTCCTTTGAAAAGTGAAGTATGTTTTATAATTGATGAAAGGGAACACAAACTTTCATTGAATTAAAACAAACTCCAAATAAATTAGCCAATTTGCATCTTACTTTAATCATAAACTCGATTTGTTACAGCAGCACCCTCCACAGACTTACGAAGTGTAAATAGACTTTTTTTTTTACCTTTTAAAGCTTGATTGTGTGTAAAACATTCATAAGAAATGTTTAGAAAATAGTATTTTCATAAATTACATAATGTTCTGTTGTGTTTGCCACCAAATGACAAGGTTTATGCTGTTTAAATTAAATAATTTTGATTAGGTGATTCATAATTATTTTATTAATGACTTACTCAACTTATTTGTTCAGATATGAAATACCAATGCTTCTGAACATGCAGTTTAATACATACACTTTGTTTCTACATAAGTACTTTCTTTTGTTACTGGTCCTGAAACAGGTTTGTCATGCTCTAAACAGCTTTTAAAAAACCACATTTTACCAACTCCGCACAACACTGTGCTCTGCTGATGTCAGAACTCAAAACGTGTCCACATCAATGAGATAACATGACTAACTCATTGTTATTTTGATTGGTGGCTGTTTTGCGTAAGCAGTCTTGTTGTTTACAGACAAAGCACATGTGTACAACAGTTTCCAAGGTAACTCTGACAGCTTCCTCTACAGACAAAATGTTGGGGTTAACTTCACAGTGACAGCTATAAAAAATAAAAAATAAAAAAAATAAAAACCTTCTGTTTTGTATTGTTTAAACTAAAACTAAGAAAAATGTCTTCAAACTGAATAATGTATTTATTATACGTTTAATAATTGTGAGAACACCATCTTTATTGTTTTAGACTTCACCGTTTTATATATCTGCACTTTGGATGCACAGAGCTGTGCACATTAGTTTTGATTTAATATGTTTTGTATTTCTAGCAGGAGCATTTGCCTGGTGAGTAAGGACTGCCTTTATCCTGAATGAGCCATGGCCCAGTTTGGGGGACAGAAAAACCCGCCGTGGGCGACTCAGTTTGCTGCCACAGCTGTGTCTCAACCAGGCCACTCAGGACAGTCTCTTGACCTCAACAGTCTGCACTGTGAGTAAAGCAAAGCAGATGATCTTCTGGACTAAATTATATTTTAAAATACAGTTTTAATCATTAGAAGGAAATAAAGCTCACAAGCTCCTTTACAGTAACATGCCCATCACAAAAGTATTTCTATTTTCTTTTACCGTTGCAGCTCTTGGGGTGCAGCAACCGTCTCTTTTAGGAGCATCTCCATCTGTTTACTCTCAGCAGTCAGCTTTGGCTGCTGCGTCTCTCAGCAACCAATCTGCAGCAAATTATCAGCTGTCTCAGCAAACTGCTGCTTTGCAGCAGCAAGCTGCAGCAGCTGCAGCAGCAGCACTACAGCAGGTTAGTCCGTGTTAAAGGGTCTTAGTTCATCTTGTCACTGTGACACTTAAATCAGCTGTTCATTTGTTCTTTAACGTCTTAAGTCTCAGATAAATACAGCGCTCCAGCAGTATCAGCAGCAGCAGCAGCAGCAACAGCAACCTCCCCAGCAACCCCCTCAACAGCAACTGTACAATGTACCTCATCAGGTGGACAAAAAGCACTTTGTGTCACACTTTGAATGTAGCTACTAAACTATAAAATATGTTTACACAGTGTAGACTCCATGTGGCTTCAGATTTTTGTTATGTTTATAAGCCATTTAAAACTGACAAAGCATTGGTTCACATGAATAAAATGATCACATTTAGCATTTTTCTTTCTTCTAACTGCGCAGCTTCCTCAGCCTCAGCAGGCTCTCATCTCTCAGGTAAAGACTTAAACTCATATCAGTTCTTTATGTTCAGGAATTGTACTTGTTAAGTTTTTTTTCCTGTGTTTATTCAATAAGTCAAGTTAGCTACTAAAATGTATATTTTACATTTGTCTGAATGTTGGTAGTTTTTGTTTTACATTTTTAAAAAATTATTAATTTTGACCTGTCCTTCAGCCCCCCGTCGCATTGCCCACCAGCCTGAGCTTGTCCAACCCCCAGCAAACAGCCCAGATTACTGTATCCTATCCAACATCTCGTTCAAGCCACCAACAGCAGCCACAGAAGCAACGAGTCTTCACTGGTGTTGTCAATAAGCTGCACGATACATTTGGTTTTGTGGATGAAGACGTCTTCTTTCAGCTCAGGTGAATGTGAAGTCAGATACTGTATCTCAGATGTAATTTTATACGTTTTTTTTTTATTAAATTTTTTTACACTGTTCACAGTGCTGTGAAAGGAAAAACTCCACAGGTCGGTGACAGGGTCCTAGTGGAAGCTGTGTACAACCCAAATATGCCCTTCAAGTGGAACGCCCAGCGCATCCAGACTTTACCTCAGCTTGCAAATCAGTCGGTGAGAACATCCAGAAGTTACACAACTAAATGCATTTTATTTTTTAGAAAGCAGATCGGTCATTTCTGCTCAAGTCAGTGGCCTTTTTTTTTAAGCTAATCAAAAATGCACTTTTTTATTCAAACTGCTTGGGTTTCATACCAACATACAAACAAATCAGTGTTTTCAGATTTGATAGAGAATTCTTTTACAGTTCATTTCTGTTTAACAGCTACTTGAGTGGATTTTGTTTTTATAAAACCACAATGTTGCACAAAAAGTGAATGTCACTTTTTCTCCTCTCATCTTGTCCCTTCCACCTTTCTGTCTTTTGGCTGTTGTGTTTTTTTAATCCTTCCCAGCATCAGCAGCAGCCTCCGCCTTTACCTCAAGCGTCCCCACAGCTCAGCAGCCTTTACAACGAGCCAGGGATGCAGCTGCGCTACACAGACATGCACTCTTCTGCAGACAACAGACAAAATGTAATCCTTTAGTCCTAAAAAACTCATTTTTATACATTACACATTATAGACTTTTTTAATACATTACACATTATAGTCTCTGTTTTTTTATTTATATGCTGTATTTATAGTGAGGTCACAATTCCATTTTTTAAAAATTTATTCTTAAACTTTTGTTGTGAATAAGTACACTTTTTTCACATTGAATTTGTTCATATCTCTAAAACTAAATGTCTAGTGTTTTTAATTAAGGTGGTTTCATTTTTTGTGCTGTTAGATATTATATATATAAATGTTAGATATTTTTAATTTTTTTATTCTTTCTTCCAGAGCCAGCCCCAGGCTCCTAACATGATAAAGCCAACCCCTGCCATGCTGCAGTCGCTACCTCCCCCAACCACCTTGAGCTTTCCGCCCCAGGCTCCCCCACCCTCTCTGCTGCAGGCTCAGCTTTCTGCTGCCTCTCTGACCCCCCTCCTCCAAAACCCCCCTCAGCCTCTGCTTCCACAGCCTCCACCCAAAGGTAAAGTCATGGCTTAACATTTCTGCCATTGTGCAACATACAACATTTAAATATAAATATTTATTTATTTAGAAATGTATTCATTTCATCTGTAACAATTATATACACAAAAAAAGAACAAAAACCATAGGCTACAATCAAAATAAAATCAAATGAAATGAAAGGCAGCAGAAGAAGAATAAATTTTATAATATCTGCCCTTTTTTATCCCCAGAATATGTTCAAAATGAAAGTAAATTACAACAAAAATATAAGCAACTGAAAACACACAAAAAACAAAGCTAAACCTAAAACACCAACTCACACAACAATTTGCATGGATTCACTTATGCTGCTCCATATTTCTTCAGAATACTAGATTTTATCATTCTCTTTAAAGATCTGGCATTTTTAACCTCATCTTCCAGACCAATCCATAATCTTATTCCCTGGATTAATATAGATCATTAATTATAATTAGCATATAAACTATTGTAATTGAAGTACAAACAATTAAAACCTGAAATCAGTCAAACTATAACAGTATTATTGCCGTAGTTCTGACAATTTTTTTCACAAAATATTCTTTCTCTATAACAGTTTCCCTAATTGTCCCCCGATCCAGATGTTTTTCCTGGTGGTCTGCTTCAGGCTCCAGTAAGAATCATGCCACAGCCGCCGCCTGTTCGACGACTCGAGCCTCCGCCTCGTTTCCCCACTCGAACTGACCGTGGCCCTGAGCTTCTCCTCAGGGTTAAAGACGAACGCAGGTAGGCCGGCACGACTAGGTTTGAATTCATAAACGTGCTCACATCGGCCAAGGATCAATCGAGTGTGTTCTCGTGACTCTTTAGCAGAGACAGAGACCGTGAACGAAGGCGATCGAGAGAGCGCTCCCCCACCCGCAAACGCTCAAGAGACCGGTCACCACGACGTGAGCGCTCTCCCAGACGGCCTCGCAGGGCGGTTCCTCGCTACACCATCCAGTTTTCCAAGTTCAGCTTAGATAGGTAAATACATGGTTTTATCCTTTTGTAATAAAAAGTGAACAACTTTACATTCAACAAATGTATGAAGAGCGTTTCGCTGATTTTAATAAATGTCTGTTTTCATTTTCCAGCCCAAGTTGCGACCTGATAGAGCTGAGAACACGCTATCAGAGTCTCTACATTCCAAGTGACTTTTATAACGCAGTCTTTACCTGGGTGGATGCCTTCCCTCTTACAAGGCCCTTCCAGATCAGTAATGCCTGTAACTTCCACATTTTGCATAAGGAAGTGGATCCTCTTGTCAAAAACACAGCTGTGCTGGATCCGCCTGATGTCAATCACACCTACAGCGCTAAGGTACGATAAGTTTGTTCCAATCTGTTAGAGTAAGTAAAACAGATGGAGGATGTGGCGACAGATGAAAGAAAATGAAGAGGTCCTGAATCGATCTTTTCTGTTTTAGGTGATGCTGCTAGCTAACCCCAGTTTAGAGGAGCTCTATCATAAGTCGTGTGCTCTGGCAGAAGACCCCCAAGAAGTCAGAGAGTCTTTCCAGCATCCTGCTAGACTTATTAAGGTACGTAAAACCCTTTTTAAACATTTTTTTATAGATAAGCGAGGCCGACAGTGATGTAATAATCCTATTCCATTGCTGAGAACTCACAATGTGGAAATATCCTAACTGATGTTGTGTAAATAACACTGGTAGTGTTTTCTCGTCTGCTTGTGGACCTTCAGAGGTATGACTATTTGTTCTTCCTACTGCCTTTTGTTTGTTTTGTTTTTGCTTTGTTTTTGTTTTGTCTCTGCCCCCTCATCTCCACTTTTCAAACCTCTACCTATATTGTCATTCCCCCATTTTCATCTAACCTGTGCTCTCTGGCTGTCCTTTGGTTCCGTTTTTTTTGTTTCCCCCTTCAGTTTTTGGTGGGCATGAGAGGTAAAGACGAGGCCATGGCCATTGGTGGTCACTGGTCTCCCTCTCTGGATGGAGAGGACCCAGAGAAGGATCCGTCGGTCCTTATTAAGACAGCCATACGCTGTTGCAAGGCACTCACAGGCATTGACCTTAGTCTGTGCACACAATGGTAAGCACTATTACTCTTTTCAATATTTCTTACATTTTTGTTTATACTGTTTTAATCAATACAATCTCAAATTATTTATACTGTATTTATGCTAAGTCTCTGGTTGTCGTTTTCAATTAGATTTTAGTATCTTTCTGTATTAATGATTACGCTGTGGTTAATTTGCAGTTTGGTTTTTATTTGTGTTGTGCAATGTTTTTTTTTTTTTTTTTGTGGGGGGGAGTGTTGTTTGTAGTTGTCTTGGCTCTTTCTGTGATACTTTACTCATACACATGCCTTTTGCTGTGATAATTAAAACAAACGCATGGACTTGGTGGCTGGAAGCAGTAGCCTGGATCAGAAGACATTACATTTTTCTTTAATTTTTTTCCCCTACTCTTTCTGTTAAATATCTTATATATTTAACTGGCTTTTAATGTCCTGTTTATTCTGTGTCTCTTTGCACAACTCTAACGTCGTGCATTAAGTGTGTCTTCGGTTAAATGCAGAATGTTCATTTGAAAATTGGCTGAAACAATAACTGGGAGGGTATCTGGGGTGTGATTTTATTTATTTATTTATTTTTTGTTTTTGTTTTTTTGTTGTTGTCTGTCACCATTTGCAAAATGGCTGCCATAACCCATGACAACAGATGAAGAGCTGCTGACTGGGTCCATTTGTTTACGCTGTGTGTTGTACGATAGCAGGGTCAATGTAAAGATGTCTGCAGTCATTCAGTGACCTGACAGGACTGAGTAGCTGTAGAAGGCTCGCCCTAGAAAGGGCCTGCCTTATAAACTGTGCCCTGACCACAATGTTTCTTTCCAATGCACCCTCTTCCTTTGCGACAGGTATCGTTTTGCAGAGATTCGCTATCACCGGCCAGAGGAGACACACAAGGGGCGGACAGTCCCTGCTCATGTGGAGACAGTGGTTTTGTTTCTTCCGGATGTTTGGCATTGTCTTCCTACCCGCTCAGAGTGGGAGGTGCTGTCACGGCGACTCCGGGAGCAGCTGTCTGAGAAGCTGTCGGCCGAGCGAAAGGAGGCGGATGGAGAACAGGCACTGAACCGCTAATCCCTCTCTTCTCATTTCCGCTTCTCACAGGAAGGCACAGGAAAAAAAAGAATAAAAAAACAAACTCCCAGATACACAGCAGACACAAAGCACACCTCACCTTTCATGCACACAAATGCGAACACAGGCATATTACTGTTCCTCCAAACGGCACCTAGACTTCTTCTGTTTACTCCTCCATCCCCCCCCCCCTCCCCACTGCTCCTTCATCAGCACCTCCACCTTCCCTCACATCCAGCAGACACATACAGGGGAAGCAGGGAAACGTAGGTTGTGTTGTGTAGGCCCCAGTCACAATTGATAAAACAGATTCCAGTTTCTTAAACGTCACTTGATTGGGTGCTGATTCGCTTTAATCCTTGCATTTCTTTCGATAAGCGTTCATTTCAAGCTGCTTCTGCTTATTGTCCTTTTCAATTGTGCGCTAACACAAACTGAATCTCAAACATGAACCAGTGGTAATTTTTTAACGCTGGTAAATGTGCTGGAATCTGTGCAGTCAGTTGTGTTCACATGTTTGTTGTAGAAATGTATATTTTTATGATTTTTTTTTTCACATTTTAATGTTTCCTGACAACGGAAAGAGAACCTCCCCCAAGTTCTTCTTCTTGTCTGTTCTTATTGTTGAATTCTACACTTTCATTTGGACTATATGTAGAATTTGGTTTTTCCAGGGCAGTTGGTTGGACAGATGGCTTCTATCTGATGTAGGTGTATAAAAATGGAAATACCCCAGTCGTAGAGCACTGTAGGGCTACCCTATCCTCACTCCATTTGGAGGCCAGCCTCAGTTCACCTGATGTACCCACACACCTGTTATTGATTTTTACCTTTTTTGTGTTCCACAGATTGATTGATTGGCTGCTGGGAGGCATTTCTGTTTCATTAGTTTTTTTTTTATATAAGAGCTAGAGAGCTTCCCTGTGTACGCTTCAGTAGCAGTGGACTTAAACACAGTCGAGCTCACTAAGACAAGACAATGAAAGACAGATGAGACCTTGCATCTCGCACGGTTCAGCTTTAAAGCTTACTAAAGCAATATGTCGTGTGCTGACTGCTATCCTCACCTCTTCTCTCCCTCTGCCTCTCTCTATCTTAATGATTTTCTTTCAAGGAGGAAGAGGAGAAAGATGAAGATGAGTCAAAAGATGTTAGCACTCCCACTCACTGGGCTAAACTCGATCCGAAATCAATGAAGGTAGCGTTCAGAACAAAAAAAAAAACATTTTACTGATGGGGGTATAAGAACAGACAATGACAACAGTTATGTAGTTTGATATAACGTGTATTATTTTAGAAAATGTTATGATAAATTCTGTTAGATGTTCAATTAATTGTAAGTTCTCCTGTTTTAGGTAAATGACCTGCGTAAAGAGCTCGACTGTCGCGCTCTGAGCTCCAAAGGCCTAAAATCCCAGCTCATTGCTCGCCTCACCAAGCAGCTGAAGGTAGAGGAGCAGGTGGAGGAGTCTAAGGAACCAGAAATACCAGAGAGCAAAGTTATAGAGGAAGAAGAGCCGGTACGGAGCGAAGATGACCGAGAGGTACTGAATTATTCTCTAATTGTTTGTGGCCTTAGCATTAACCCTTTAACAGTTGGCCCTGAAATTCCTTCAAAGTATTTTTGAAAAACACACCCAAATTAAATTAAGTACTGTTCATGAACCCTAATGAGTAATTTCAAAAGCTTGGTCTCATTGGAAAGATAACAATCTGAATTTTTAGCTTCAACAGTCATAATTGTTGTAAACTGTTTAGTTATTAAACTTAAACTACACTACAATAAAAAAAAATTCTCATCTAAATTATTGTTATAAATTTCACATGTTGCTGCACAATGAGAAAATAGGGTTAGGAAGCCAAAATGTATATGAGCGTGAAGTATAAATTCCCAACTGTTACCACTTTAAATTGGTAACAATAGCATTAAAAATTAATATTGTAGACAAATAAAGCATCACGTTCACTTATATTTGGATAGATGTCTCGTATGTAAAACAATCATATTCTACCATCCATATTACTCTCTGATTAAAATACATAAAATTATCAATAATCAGCATCATCACAGCTGGCCTCCTGCGGCAAGGACAACCCCATCAAACAGCCAAAACACAACAAAATCAGCATAAATCCAGTCTTTTGTCAAAGCATCAACACCCATGCAGCTTATAAACCACTAGCAGCATGATAAAAAAGGGTTATCACTTACTCTTTGAAGAATAATGTGTCCAAAATATGTATCCGTTATCCAAGATAGCCGCCGAGCTGGAACAACAGTCCCCACTTTGTAAGACATTTTCTCATCACCAAAATCACTATTTTTTTTTTCATTTGAAGCACTTAAGAGTCTTTATTATACATATTTCCTTGTTTCAAAAGGTTAAAAAAAAAAACACCAAACGTGTTTTACTTGTTTTGTTTTGTTTTCGCCACTAGGGGGCCAACTGGAAATAAATGTCAGAAAAATCCAGAAAGACCTATTTTTTTCAAACCTAAAACCATCAAATCCTTGACATTAACATATCGACCTCTCTGGAATTTGATTGGCTACATGTCTGTGGAGTCACAACAAAAATCCGATTTGATTTGTCGATCCTGCAGCCAATCAAATCCACTGTCTGACCTGTGGGACACGTGGGGTTAGCCTGTAAATGGCTGTATTGAAGCCATAGACCAGCCCACTTGGTTAAAAATGGTGTCAAGCTAAATGTAAGAACCAGAGGAAGTTGTTTGACATCCTGGTTTTCAAAATAAAAGCCCCTGGTAGTGTCTGGAAATGTTTAATGGAAGGAACCGCACCCTTTTGTCCCACATGTAGAACAACAACCGCTAAGGGTTTTTTAACCTATTAACCTCAGGTTATTAGTCTGTTTTCTCACAAGATGTTACGTCAGAACTCGTGTTGCTGTTTACTAAAGTGTTTTTCAACCCTGGTCCTGAAGGCACACCGTCATGCATGTTTTAGGAATTTCCCAGCTTTAACACACTTGATTCAGATGATTGCAGCTCAACAAAAGCCTGTTAATTAGTTACCAATTGAAAACAGCTGTGTTGAAGCAGGGAAACATCTAAAACATGCAGGATGGTGTGCCTTATTGTACAGCGATTCCTAACTACTTTTTTATAGGTAATTAGAGTGACTTGTTGTATTTCTAAACAGCAGCGAGAACATTTATTGACCACTCAATAGAAAAGAAATCACTTCCAACTGTGTTTCCTGGAATCTGCTTTTAGTCCACCTGCCAGAGAGCAAAAATTGTAGCTGTAGCTTTTGTTTTTCATTCCCTGGGATGTATTAGGTAAAACAACAAGATATATTTACCAGATGTAAAGGGATTTTTTTGTATTCAGAACAGGGTTGCACAATATTGGAAGAAACTGACATTGTGATTTTTATACAGGAACCTTCAACAGATGACTTGAATAACTAAGTTATGCTGCCATCTTGTTGATGATGAATCTGCACCGATCTTTCCTCTTGTGTTCATGTAGTATGGTTTTTGTCTGTATTTGAGTTTTTCTTGTTATTTTTTATTGCTTGCTTTTATTGTGCTGGGACTTGTGTTTACAAACCTGCAAATGTTAATTGTGTTTTACCATCAGCTTAGTTTCTGTTTCCATCACACTTTAATATTAGCATTCATGCTAACCATATTTTACCTCTTTGCTTCTACTTCTCTGCGAATTTACTCATCTTCATCGTTTTCATCAAGATCCTCGTCGTCTTCCTCCATAGCTCGAGAATTCACAAGCTAACTTTGCCGTTATTGACCCGAAGTTTCACAAAGAAATTCAAGTTTTAGCTTTTTTGACATGAAGGGCTTCATCTGGTGTGTCTGCCTCTTTTAGGAGGACGAAAGGAAAAGGATGGAGGAGATCGAACGGCAGCGGAGAGAAAGACGCTACATTCTCCCCGAAGAGTCCACCATCCTCGTTCACCCCAACTGGGCTGCCAAGAATGGTAAATTTGACTGCAGCGTCATGTCGCTGAGCGTGCTGCTGGACTACAGAATGGAAGACAACAAGGAGCACTCGTTTGAGGTGCGACATCGTTCTCTTGGTGTTTGTTTTACTTTAGTTTTTTTAATTCGTGTTGAGGTATACGGTCCTGTTTGTGTACAGGTGTCCCTGTTTGCTGAACTCTTTAATGAGATGCTCCAGAGGGACTTTGGCTACCGAATATATAAAGCCCTCGCTGCTCTGCCTGCGAAGGATGAGAAGAAAGAAAAAAAGGTGAAAAAGGAGTCAGAAAAGAAAGAATCTGAAAAACGCGAAGTAAAAGACAAAGAGGAAGAAGGCGAGGAGCCAGCAACAAAGAAGACCAAAGAGGATGAAGATGAGAAGAGGAAGGTAAACCCTGCATTTTTTTATTAGCATTTGTTCACTGCAAGGTTGGGAGTTTAACATGTTTTGATTTAAAAAAGGAGGATTCTCGAGACGATGAGGAGAACGAAGACGAGAGCAGTACAACCAACGCAGAGGAATATGACCCCATGGAAGCTGAAGATGCAGATGATGATGAGGATGATGGTGGTGCGTGCTTGTTTTTTTTTTAAATACACCCCTTTTTTATTGTGGATAGTGAGAATTCATATTCCTTATTGAACTTGTATTAGACATAATTTTACTTCAATTTTAGGAATTTTTTTAAAAAGAATTCTTATCCATGCGTTTTTATTTTCCTGAAGATGACGACGACTCCAACGACAGAGACCGAAAAGACCGCCGAGATGACCACAGGTCGTCAAAAGAAAGATCCTCTAAAGACAAGGTTTGCTTGTTTTTACTGTAGGATTATTATAGAGGCATCAGTGGGATTGTTGTGGATTTAAAAAATGTTTGTTTTTGATCCATAAGGAGAAAAAGCAGATGGTGACGCACAACAGAGAACTGCTCATGGCGTTCGTCTACTTTGACCAGTGCCACTGTGGGTATTTACAGGAGAGGGACCTGGAGATCATCATGTACACACTGGGACTGCATCTTTCCCGTTCCCAGGTGAACACATGCACACACACACACACACACACACACAAATCTTGATTTTATGATTCTGCTTCTCTTCAGCACATATTCTTTAGGTCTATCAGTATTTTCACTTTTCTTTAAAGGCTGGTTTATACTTTAAGTCGCACATCTTCCTCATGCTGTTGAGTGACAAAAATTGCATAAGTGACAGCTGTCGTGTGCACTGCCCCCAGTCAGCGCACTGTCCTGTAGACCTTGCAGCTCTCAGCGTGTGATTGGTCAGAACTTATTGGGAGGTAGGGCTGGGGATCGATTCAGATTTCCCAAAAAGATTCGAGTCACCATTCAGTTTGATGTATTTTTAAATTAGTTAAGGATATCATGCAGTAACACATTTACTTTGAAATGGAAGACGTTCTCAAAGGAACTAATTCTGCAAATAGTAGAAACTAATTCTAACTTGACTAACTTCTTTAGTGAAACGTTTCGATAATTCTAACTTGGTGCATTGGTAAGATTTTAAAGATTAAGTTTAGTCTTGAAACAAAACTGTCTAAGTTTCAAAGGGTTTAAACTAAAAATAAATTGGCAGAGAAAGTGTTGTTGGATACGTTAGATTTTTAAGAAACTAAGAATAATTTTCTTGATCACTAAGAAGTGATGGAATAAGGTTACAGGAGAAGAGGTGGGATAATATAAGTGTATACTTCTGCCCACACTTTAGAGTGTATGAAAACTGTATATTTGTAATGTTTCTGTTCCCTTCTGTTCAATAAAATAAGAAAGAAAGGGGAAAAAAGAACTTCAACTAAAACATTCCATCACTGTGAATTACATTAAGATGTTTCTTAAATTTAAAAATAATATTGGTAACAAAACTAAACGATTTTTTTAGACTGTCATCTTTCACACATTTATACAGAAGGACAGTTTCAGTCAGATGTTTACACACCGTAGTTTTGGTCCGAGCCGCTCGAAGCTTCGTGTCCCGCTACCGCGTTCGAGCGCAAATCTTTGCAAACAAAAGTCATGCCTCTGTTATCTTTAAGTTCTGCTGAGAATCAGCTGTAATGTTAGTGAGTCCTTTGTTTCTTTGCACTGACCATCAACCGGCTGTAAACCGACTGCAAGCCAGGAGTGACACACAACATGGAAATGCGCAGCTTCATCGCACACAACATCCATGGGGAAAAATCGATCTCATGACTTAATGAATCGATTTTCCCAAATTTAAATGAAAATCGATCCAGATCGATTAAATAGATTTTTTTTCTTTTTTTTAACCCAGCCCTAGTGGACGTGTTTGTTAGTGCAGAACAAGGCAGTGCTATGGAGCAGCATGTCTTTGATTTTGCTGAATAGGATTAATTCCCAGAAGCCGTTTGTTATATTAGCAATATGCACAGATTTGATGAGCAGCTGGTCCGATCGTCTTGAGCATGTGAACGTACAACCAACATCAACGCCTTATTTCTATCTCTGCCATTACCAAGAACGAGTTTTTCCTCCTTGGACTCCTCAACCAACACAACACTGATACACCGTCGAGTGAAACAACTGTATCCTTCTATCACTGTTGTTTAAATGCTCAGCTATGCTATACTATACTGTCAGAAAAAAGACTGAAATAACGTAATCACCGATCTGCTGTTCCACGTCGTATTGAAGTGTAAACCAAGACTTAGTGTGACCATATCCAGCCAGCTTTAAGTGGCGTGTCAATTTCCGTTTTCAGGTAAAGAAGCTTTTGAACAAACCATTAGTCCGAGAGACGTGTTACTACAGAAAACTGACAGACAGGGGGAAAGATGAACCCACTCCTGCCTTTAATGAAGCCCAGATAGAAAACCTCACAGGTGAGCTGACATGTCTGATTTTCTTAAAGATGAATATGTGTCATGTGTAAGGCCTCCACTGAAAACTGTTTTACATTTTTTCTGTCAGGTAACCGAGGGCTGATTCCTGCTCTTAAAGCTTGTGCTCAGACTGAGGCCAGTGAGTCCAGTAATCTGATCGTGTACAACGGCGCTATGGTTGATATCGGCAGCATGATGCAGAAACTGGAGAGGAGTGAGCGAGAAAGAGAGGAGATAGAGCAGAGGCTTATGACACAGGATGTCAAAAAGGGTATAATCTGGATTATGTTTTATGTTTTATGTTCTGTAAATGAGGTTTTTCCATGTAGCCTTGATGCATCACTTCCTGCTGCTACACAGTGTATAAAGTGGAGTTTAACGTGTAAAATTCCTCCTGCAGCACAGAGTTGTTCTGGCTGCTATGATTGTTTTTTTTTTATATGTAACTTGATCACTTTCCCTCTAGTCTTGTTAGTTTTAATCACTGATCTTACGTGTCTCCTTCCAGAGGAAAGTGCGAAGGTGATAGCCGAGTTGGAGCAAGCAAACAAAACCCTGACCACGGAGCTGGAGGAGGTGAAAAGCACCCTCAGTCAAACCGAAGAGACTCTCAGCACTGTGCAGGAGCAGAAGACGATCTATTACGACCTGATGAACAAGTCGGCCACCTCGCTGATGTCCACCGTCAAAGGGCTGATGGAAGTGCTGAACGAGGTGCCAAACGAGGTGCCGAGCGTCTCCAAGTAGCGAAAAGTACCCGTTTGTTTCCTCTGAGGTGAGAAACGAGCTCACCTTGTCTGTCTTTTTCAGGATCAGGAAGTAGAAGAATCTGGTGTTGAAGCCACCAACGATCAAACGGGAACATCTCAGACGAACGGCGCCAATGAATAACTTTACAAAGAAATGAAGATGATCTGCAACCCTGCTCTTTAAGTGTAAATATTTACCGAACATGTTCTAGGATTGGTTTATCTGAACCGTCTGTGTCTCAAGTATGTATATAATTAATTCATAAACGTAGTTTTTCTTTTGTGAAGTTGTTTTTTGTTCTGTTTACTTTTCTTACTGACAGATTTTAACCATGGCAGAAGGTTGAAGCACCTATTTTCAAATTAAATTAAATTCAGTTGCTAACGTTTTATTTTTTGTCCTGTTGCTTTAGCTTTGTACTGGCCAATGAAGTGCCACTTTGTAGATTGACATGCCAGTGTGCGTGGTACTTGAGTTGATTTAGTTTTTCTAATGAGCAATAACAGTGCTATTTATGTTCAAGAGAATTCAGAAGAAACTATATTTAAAGAAACTAATTTTGGATGGAAGAGTGTTTAGAGATGATTCATGAAGTTTGGATTGAATTCTTTAAAACAAAATAATCGTTTTAATCTTTTTGCCACAGTTTCATAAATTCCTAGTTTGTAGTTTTTTTTTTTTTTTTTTTATACATTGATGTGCATGGTTCCTGCTTCCTTTGGACCTCTCCCCTGTCCTCCCGCACCTCTTGACCGTATCCGTGGACTGACTGCAACATCAGCTACAGTGTTGCATATTTTTACCACAATGAGCAGGTTTTCTAAAAAGAAAACGAGACAAACTAAAATAACTCGATGAATGTGTTCTCAGCTGAAGGAGTGATGTCGGATCCATCCCTGGACTGTGTATGTTGGTTTTGGCTGTTCCTGCATAGAAAAACAAAATAAAAACAGGTGCAGTTCCATTTGACTAAAGCAGGCGCTTTTATTTTTCTATGAGAAAAATGTACTCTGTTGATGTCCTGTGCAAGAGTAAATTAGTCCTTTTAACACTACAATTGCGTGCTTTTTCATTTGTCCCGTTGTGACTCTGGTACTGACGAAAGTTTTAGCATTTCTCTTTTTTAATCACTCCATCATCATTGGAGAAAAAGAGTGGTTTGGCATCGTCTCACCAGCAAGTGGCAGCAGAGTTCATGGGTTTAAATGCTTAGCTTCAATATTTTGACTATTTCTGAAAACCTTTTAAGTTTTAAAGCATAGTGCAAAAATCTTAAGCTACCTTTTGGTTTTTGTACTTTTTATTTAAAACCAAATTCTTGAAATTCATATAAGTCCTAAATTTTTTAGCATTCATTTATGGATTTCAAGCATTGAAAGGCACTTAAACATGATGGATTGTAGTGTATTAAGGACATTTTTATAATAATTTGGAACAAAATATGTCTATCTTATTTGTAATGATATTTTGCTTGCAAATGTGTAGAGTTGCCTGTAGAAATCAATTGTAAAATTCTGAAAGCTGATTTTGCGCATCAGTCGGTGCTCAGATGTCTGTGCTGGGGTGGACTCGCATCTATAACATACCAAATTATAATCCACCTGCTGGTTCAGGAGATATTTTGCTAACACAACAGACAAATGAACAAAAGTCTTGTTGCTCTCAGTGACAGATGATTTAAAAAAAAGGTTACTGGAGGTCATTTAACTTAACACCGTTTTTCAGAAATTGTATCCTTCCTGTTTGAGACTTGAACAGGGGTTTCTGCCCTTCGGCTTCTTGCAGATCATTTACCTTTTGAAGCTTTTCTTTACTCCGATGTGATTTATTTTCTGTCTTATAGACAAATAACTTTGTTCGCATGCTCCACCCTACCTTGAAAAGGTTTTCGATTAACATGTCATTCAAACTGAATTCCAGATGTCAGTTCCCAGCTGTTGGGCATTAGGACACTGTAAAACATTTCGTAAAGCATTCTTTGGGACATTTGTTTTTGTTAAATCCCACCGTTCTGATGTTTAACAATTCATTACAAAAATGCAGTTAAGCTCAAGATAGAAGAAAAATATTTCTAGTGAATAAAAACAGTCTGTTATCCAGCTCTTTAGTCATACAAATGCTTTTATTTTGGAGTTCATGCTCTGTATTTGGGCAAAACAAACCTCGTCTGTCCCCAGTGGACCCCTGCTCCCCCCTCAGCCCTTGTACCTGACTGCAGCGGCCCTGTGTGATCGTGTGAGTGAAGCTTGAAGCCTTTGCACGGTTATGCATGCACATGTGACGTGTGAAATTAGAGCCCACAGGAAAGGACAGGGCAGGTAACCCCACTCCCAGGCTGCAACAGAAAGCTTTTGTGGCCACTTCCCCACCCACACTCTTTAACTCCCCACTGCATCGGCGCAGGATCACGGCTTTCATGGGTTTGGTAAAAGGAGACTTTTATTTATGGCCGTTCCACTGATCCTCGCTTTTCATGTTAATCAGGCCTCGAAAGTCAAAGGGTGCAGCTGATGACTGATGTCACCATTACAATTTACTATAATAATAATAACACCCTCAGCCCTTTCTGTGCATGTCACCCCATGTTAGAGGCAATTTGCACCCCCATACCATCAGAGAGGCAGGCCTTTGAGCACTGAGGTTTCCCCAGATCATGGAAATTGAATTTTCAAAGTTTTACCAATTTTCCTTGGAGGAACATTATTTTGGAAATTGCAAACTGATGAATCTCTTCCAATCTTTACATAAGTCTCTCTTTAAGGCTAACTTCAAACCCAGTTCTTTTACTGATCTGGTGCCAATTAAACGAATTGGTTGCAAAATGCTCAAGGTATATTTAATATCCCCACAGGGCAATTTGTGTTACAGCCAGCAGGGGAAAAAAAAACATTCATCAACAATAAGTACAGTAAGTACAATAAAAGCTACTACATATCTAACAGACACAACACTCAACAAGAAGTATTTAAAAGGAAAATAATGGCAGTTAAAAATGAATTCTGATGCTTTTTAAAGCAACTCTGCGTCCTGGTAAAAGATAAAACTCTGTGAACAAGGGGTGGTTAAGGCCCTGTCACACTAGACAACTTATGCCAACTTATGAAACATTTTTATGTCTAAAATGCTAATAAAAGTTATATATTTGATCAATTTGTTGGAATTACATTATGCACACGCTGAAAAGAAGCTTCCTGTTGATTTTTTTCAATTCCATCCTAAATGTAGATATCTTTAAAATGTTCATAAGTTGGCATAGGTTGTCTAGTGTGAAAATGAGCTTAACTGATGTATTTTTTTAAACTAAATCATGCATCTTAAGCTTTTGTGCAAAAATTGTTCAACGTGATCCACAAAAACACCATCTGAATCTTTCTTTCACCTCATTAACTTTATAAAAAGACTGCTTGCTCCTTGTCCTGCAGCATTGTGAGGAGAAGAATTGAACTTCCTGTCTGATAAGTCGGGAGAAAAATAGGCTAAACGGGCGACAAATCCTCCGGCTTCCGTCACACATTCTCCGAGATAAATCAAGTTCTTCTCGCTCCTTTCGCAGGAATCTCGGTGACCACCAAAGTCAAACAAACACGTCGACCGCCCTCTTACACGCTGAATGATATTTCAGGTAATCGATACATGAGAGGCTCCATTGAGCAACCTGCTCGGGCCCCCTGCAGAAAGAGAGAGGGGGCCCCCTTCTTCAAGCTGAAGCCCAAGGAGCTCCACTTCCTTGGGGAGCGGCACGGTAAAGTGGTGTAGTTGTTGAGGAAACGATCCCTGCTCCCTGCATAAACCCTTTCTCAGGGAATACTGGGTTACAGTGTGAAAAAGTCCCACAGTTGTGTGTTTTAAGTTGGGTTTTTTTACAGTGCATCTCCAGGGCGTTTCCTGCCCTCCGCCCCTCCATCATCACAACAACTTCAAGACCTGAAAAAACCTTAGGTGGAAAAGCAGATATTCTCTAAATGCTGCCCTCGGGAGGGGATCTATCCGTCAGAGAATCACGCAGGGGGGAATGCTAGTCGGAACCTGCAACCTGTAAAAAATAAAAATATTTCCATTAAAAACTGACAGGTTATGAAGAGATGTACGCAACAAGGTTTAAAACACCTTCAAAGCCACAAAGTGGGTGTGTGTTTGGGAAAACAAGGAATATTTTCACTCAGCCCTGCTCATTCAATGATAAAGTCTGTCTGTTAGCGAAATATCTCATGAACCACTGGAGAGATTTTAATGAAACTTTCAGAATGCAATGACTGGATGTACTTTATTTATTTATTTGTTTATTTATTTTCGCTCTCGGAGGAGTAAGACGCTTTTCCCTTCTCTCCTGCCCTTCCTTACCTTCTCTGCTTTGCTGCTCAGAGCCTTCTCTACGTTTTCATCCGAAACCAGAAATTAAGGATATTTTTATTTTTATGGATTTGGTTAGCTGGTCTGTTAATAAATTTTGGGAACAAAGTTTTTTTCTTCCGTGGGAGGACATGTCAAAGGTGGGACCTCTGTTCTGGATATATATTTGGATTCTGATCACTGGATTCTACAGATTGGCTTGGTGGTCTCTGGGTGTTTCTACAAAACAGCGTCGGTAGCTGTTCATTTCCTGGCTGGCTGACCAATATGAAGGATTGCCGTACTATCAGCACTCAGACTTTTGCCTTGAGATAGCTGGACTCAGTCTGCAAGCGGTTCTGCTGAGGGTCGCGGACCGGCTGTGGTTCCTGGACTTTGCTGGCGAGATGGAACAGACATTAAACCAGATGGAAAATTGTTATTGTCTGCCTGGCACAAAACATTCTCTTCTGTTCCCAAATAACTAATTACAGAATTTGACTCTCTCCTACATGGCCTTGAGCTGTGGACTAAATTCTTCCTGGATGGATACGTCGACTGAGGGTC